AAAAATCTGAAAATTAGGGAAATCATTGGTTCTTTCACATTCTTGCATATCCATGCAACATCTCTTGTGGATCAGGCATGTAGCCTATCAAAACTTAAGGTTGTCTCTTATTGAGTCTACCACGCCAAGGTATTCCATTCATCGCATCCCTTCACCCATCGGACCAGTTTCATGTTTGTTTCCCCAGGCCACCGCAACTGTCGTAGATCTATGAATTTCGCTCACGGGTCCACACATCATGAGCTGCTGCAAGGTATCTCTGAAGAACCCTGCGCTCTGTAGTTTGAGCAGCTGTACGCCTACTCAAAAGTGATGCGCGACCAATAAAATCCTCTGCGGAGCTACACGAAAAGGCCAAAGGATTCATTGGCCTGCCGCCCTTGCGAACAGTCACCCTCATTTCCAAAAGAATGTGGTGGAAATAGTGTAATTTTGGTCTGTAGGCAAAGAGGGGGGCGGGAACTAGCATATGCCAAACTTGCAAGCTTGGCATAAGCCTGCAAAAAAGTCAGGCCATCTCCCACAATCTGCTCCGCCAGGGTTTCTTCCTTGGTGGAAGAAAAAATGAAAGAATTGGAACCCAACCTTGAGTTATAGGACGTGGGTGAATGAAACGAAAGGTGGCATGGCAAGCGGATACACTATTCGCCTGCAGTTTGCTGAAGCCTGAGTAGTTAAGATAAGGATGAGCGTGAGGACACGGTTGAAGGCGGTGAAGATTGGAATGGGTAAAGGCAATTAGGTAACTCATGATCAAAATCGATCAGGATCAGGATGAACATGAGGATGATCTAGGATGAGCATGAAGGTGAAGATGCGGATGACGCTGGGGATGATCAGGAGGATGGATCAGGATGAGGATGAACAGGGATGAGGGTGGATCAGGTAGAGGACATCATGGGGAAGTGTTCTTTAATCTCTTTTACTCATAGGACTTATAATAAGAATTGCAATTTTGTCTATGTCAATGTCCTTTGAGCGTTGTGGCGGAGTAATGGGGAAAGCAGACATGACATACCTTATGTAGGGTGTCATGTTCGCCAAGGCAACCAAACATTGGACCAAACATATCTCACCGTTTGACAAATTTGCTTACAGCCCCACAGTCCTAGACCAATGCCACCCACCAATACATTGTTTGCTAAAACAGGGGAACTTATATAAGTCGTTGAAATAACTTAGTGGCAAAACCAAAACACAACATTATGTCACCCAATGTTGACTGAGGCTCTACCCACAAATCAGCACTGTACAAACCTCTCATGCATTTGCGTAAAGCTTTGCAAGACAAATCAATGTAGTGCAGCATCTTGTCCTGGGAAACCTTGTCGTCGTACGTCTCGCACATGTATATGATGAACTCACTTATCTTTGAGGTATCTGAGGCCTTTGACCAGGTTCCAGTGGGAAAAGTCTTTGTAGCATCTGGAAAGTTCAGCATGTTTCTGGTGAATAAATAGGTGTTGGCAGTAACCCTCATCATTTTTTCCAAGTTCGCCACGCTGTGTTCAAACTTGCCAGTTGGGCATCAACAGATGTTCCAACAAATATGGTTCCCAGCATTGCGACCAAGCATGACCCGGCATGGTCTTGACCGAACCCTGCCAGATATACATGAAACAAATCAGGCAAGAAAAAATTTTGCCGGTTGAGACAAGTACTGAAAGCTGTTGGCCACCAATCCGCTAATTTCTCCATCTCTCCAAGGCACCCATTGCGCCCACTCCCCGATAGCTTCAAACCATTTGGGAGAATCTGTGTGAATCTCCTCAAAGGGGAATTGGACATCTCCAGCTGGACACAACCAGCAACACAACCCTGGACTCTGTTTGAGGTTTGTCGGATCAAGTGGACCTTTCCTGCAAGTGGAGTACCATCGTGTAAAGCGGCCAGCACGGGCCTGAAGCTTCAAATCCGCTTTCAAGCCCAAAACAACGAGCCGCAAGCGCAAACCTTGATGTAGCACACCAGTCTCAAAACACTCATGAAGATCCTTCCCAAACTCTGTCATCATGGCCTGGAAACAGGAGTCATCTTTGTGCCAGGCAGCTGGCATCACGGAGTACATGTAGTGTGTCCCATACGAGTGTCCCAAGAGGTTGATTTGGGCTTCTTTCTTCCCCCGCTTGAGCATTCGGAATGAATGATCTTTCTTATTACCGCCTGCAGTCCCGCTTCCGCATACTGAGCTCCAGTTAAAAAACCATGAACTCGGACTTTTTGTAACCACGTCCGCCATCAGCGTGAGCAAAGACTGGGATGCAAAGCCCAAGCTCTACATCAGGGTCGTCCACCAGAAACAAACCAAAGTCGGGGTGGTACACTTCAAACCTTCGCCAAAACTCCTCAAGCATCGGCCGTGCCTCGGCCACCTGCTTTCCTCCAAGAAGACGGTTCAGGTAGCCATTGGCTGCCATGTATTCCAGGAAGTGGAGAGGTTTGAGTCTAGGATACCCTTCCAGCAAGTCCCCAGATAGCGGGGTCAGATCTATAGGCAAACTCAGATTGTGCTTGGCAAGGAGTGGGTGAAGCCTATCCTCTGCATCATTGGCTTTAAGTTTGCTCAGACCCCTCACGACTGGACAGGAAGCAACTTGGGATGAAGTCCCAACGGCATCTTCCATCGCTTTCTTGGCAAAGCCAACGACCTGAGAGCATGGCACCTCAGCACGTTGGCAAAAGCATATCAAAGCATCACAAGTCCCACTCCCTGCAAGATTGTTCCCTATGTTGCTCATTTTTGCATCAACGCACAGAACAAAGCCTGTTTTGTTTCCCAACAATTGCTTTTAGGTTGCACGGCACGAATTACATCGCAGATTTGAACACAAAATAAGTAAAAAAGGGCCCTTGCCCACATTGTCTCCCTTCGCCACCCGGCCGAACATTTCTGTTTCCGGGCATGCCTTTGTAAGTTTCAATTAGAACAGCTTCCATTAAAGCTGCTTCGTCAAAGGACTCTGCCGCATAAATGACATCCATGAACTTGAACCTGTCAGGGGACCTGTAGTAGCCTGGAGACGGTGACTCATGTGTCGGCTCCTTGTAGAAACGAAACAAAGGGTCTGCCGTCACCCCTACTTTGTAAACATGTGGGCCTTTGGTCAAAACATTCTCTATTTGTCTCCGGCATGAGGCCAAAGCCTTTCCTGTGTTGGCCATTGGCGGTGGCAATTTCAACCACACTAGGCCATCGTCCCCCAACCCCTTCAAAATCAAATGTTGAAGTCTCGGCAAACCTCTCAGCGCAGGCTTGAACAGATCAAGAATGCTTTGTACACCTCGGAACGACTCGCGCATCTTACATCTCACCCTTGGCCACCCTTCAATACAATGACAATATGCGGAAGCCATCCCCAAAAGCTTTCATGTCTGTGCACAATGGAACCGCTAAGCCTGCTACTAGACGGCTTGGCGGCCTTTCCAAAACCCCTCTCCTCAAAATGAAACTGGTCCAGCACGGGCAAAGGACTTGCAAGAGCGGATGACCTGATATTTTTGACAGGAGGTCCTCGGCAGATGCGAAAACAGAAATGCATTCACAGCATCACGCTTTTAGCAAGGACAAAGACTCGTGAGGTCATGAGGTCCACCAAAGCCTTTGTTTCAGGAGTACACCACGAGCATTTGTGTGGCACGTTCAATCCAAAAAACTTGATAGTACTACAGAAACAAAAATTGCTCGCTTCCACCCAGCATTACTTTAAACAATCCAAGTTGCCTTCACAAGGCTGCCGTTGCTCCCGGCATCGCAAATTATTCTTTACGCTAAAGCCTAGAAGTTCTTCCAGCCATAGTGTCTCTTCACACGCCATGGTGCTGAGAGCCAGAAGCTGGTCTTCTCCCACTATCACGAATGACTCATACGCTATGCTTGCTCAAGTGGGAAGGAAAGACCCTGAGCTTGGCACGCCAGAACCAACGCATTTGGCCAGGTACTCTGCCGTCCCACTCACTCTTGATCGTGGCCGACCTGGCCAAGACAGTAAAAGCCACCATAAACAAAACAACTGTCTCCCCCGTTGGACTCTGGAGCTCAACAAAAATTGATGTGGAGGACGCTGATAGTCTTTCATTTTACCATATCTCAGGGCAGCATGTAGTTTAGAGTCAATGTTGCCCACACTGGACCCAAATGCATCAACTCGAGCAGCGCTCAACACTAATCTAAAGGTCTGCACACCTCTGGGAGCGTGATCACCAGTAATTGCAAGGAAGCTATGGCGTGCATTCACACCCGCTTCAACCCCAGACTTGAAAGTCAAAAATCCCTCTCAAACCGCTTAGTCTTCCTTCTCGGACTTCCGAGGCTTGCGCAGCAACGGCCTTGGCCAGCATCATGGATAGGTGAACAGCAGAATAAACGTCACACCATGCAGATGGACAACTAGTGATGCTAAACTGTTGACACAGCACATCCAGGTCCCTAACCTGTACTTTTTCTCTGTGGCTGTCCATGTTGAAAGCCTCAGCAGCATTAAACATCCTCAACTCTTGAAGAAAACTGGGTTTCAGATGAATCAACTAGTTGAGACAATGGCAGGCGCTTGCTGGTGCTGTACAAGGTCTTCAAAGTTGCAGCATGCCTGGGCAAAACAGGAATGGCATATCTGCTCGAACAGCGCTCAAGGAAAGAAGACAGACCAACCATGAAACGCGCAAGCGTCGAAGAACATATCCAAAAATAGCAGGCTAGATTCTTCGGCTCATCAACGCTGATTTCCCCCACTCTGAGGTCGGCCGTGAGCTCAGTCATGTCGTCGTACAATTTGGAAACCTTTTTTCTGCAACTCCACCACGCTCTTGGCCGCCCTGAGTCGCTGCTTCATGGGGGACATTTCAATTGATCAGAGAATCGGATTGACATGAATGACACCTCTCCACAAGCTAAGCTTGGGTCTCTTTTGCTCCCGCCAAAGTGCTTCCGTCCAGTTTCTCCAGAAACGGGCTAATCTTGCCCAAAACGTTGATGAGTTCGTCCATGTGAACTTCCAGCTCGTGTGCCTCGAGGTCATTGTTTACCGGAAACCCTTTTGGTTAACATGCGATTGGCTTCTTTTAAATCAGCATCAAACTCACTGGCTTGCAACGAATGATCTGTCAGCCTTGACAGCTTTCTCCTCCTTCTTGGCTGGCCCGTGGTGCCCCAAGGATGGCAAATCCAACTTGTTGCCAAGAAGATTGGCTTTGAAGCGGTTGGTCGTTCCCTGAGCAGTTGTGGACTCATACAAGCCCTGACTCTGCCGGTTCTTCAATGAACCTTCAGTTCTCACATTGCACCAGTAGAGTACCACAGAGTTCATCCAGCTCATCGAGCCTGAGAAAAACAAAACCTGCTGCTGATAAGGACGCATCAGAAGATTGGGTTTGTCAAAGCAACTCTGCTGGTGCTGTTTCAAATACCAATGGGAAATTCATGCCACGCATGCCTTTTTTAAGCCTAGCTGCATCATGTATTCAGGATCCCTTTGTCCTCGCTCCACAGCCGCTCGAATCCGTCCCCTTAGGCAGCAGAGCAGTACATGAGAATCTCAAACACAACAAACAAATTCCCTGCATAAATGTGAACAGGCACGGTTTCCACTTGAGGATGTCTTTCATCTCATCTTCTGTATAGAAACCACCGTGGGTGTTCAGCTCATTGATTTGCTCTTGGGACCGTACAACCCGGACTTCCTTGACAAACGCATCCTTACTTCGAAACCGGAAGCCACAAAAAGGCAATATTCAAAGCAGAAGGAAGAAGTCTATAAACAAAACTTACAAAACGATAGTTTGGTGTAGAGCTTCAGTATCACCTCCAGACTGGACAAATATCTCAAACAGGCGGTCCCTACTGGCCCCCCGGGCAGCATACTGCTCGAATATGTCTTCAGGCACATCCAATTTGCCAGAGGACCGCTTCGGCTCACACACACGACGGAACTTTCCCTGCCAACGCTCTAGGTCGGCCTCATCATCGAGCCCCAAGGCTTCTATGAGAGATCGTTTGGCATCCTGCAATGTTGTGTCCACACAACATTGCAAATATCCTACGGCCCTACGGTTTCCTTGCATACAGGAAATCACCAGTGAGGCCCATGACATTCACTGTAGAAAACAATCTTCGCCAAAACATGCCAGAGAAACTCGCTTCCCTGCACCTGAGCTCCTGTCAGAAGCAAGCGATGAAGTCGGAGTCACAGTCGTTGATGAACTGGTCCCCTGGTTTGCAACCAGACAATCAGGTTAAACATACGGACAAGCAAGCACCGTGTCACATCTTGAAATTGCACAAATGCGTGCTTGTTTGATTGCGTCTTTTCCACAGGAAACTGGAGGGAAACACACATTGTACAATTGAAGCACAACATCCATTATTTGACAATTTAGACGCGGCATGCACCTTGCCATCGCCAGGTTTGCCAGCGTCGCCCAGTGGGGAGGAAACAGGCTTTCTGCAAACCGGAGATCTGGGAGGGCTGGCAGTGACTAAGTACGGATCTTCATAGACGCTGCTTGCTACATTCACATCGCTGTTCTGTAAATCTAACAAAAGGTTCTGCTGCAATTGCAATGCTAGGTTTGCATCGTCTTGGGCATCAGCATCCATGCCAAGGCCATCAACAGCCTTGGGGTTGAACTGAATCCAGAAAATATCTGAAATGGTCAGCTGAAAAGTCTCTGAAACTCAAGACCGAATAGGTGAAACCAAATGAAATCTAGGAACGCTCGAGTGGTCTTCTTCTTTCACGTGAAAATCTCCCGTGCTGCTAAACACATAAGGCACGGTTTCAGCCTCTGAAAGGGCAAGATCCTCTGTCTTTGCCTTCTCTGAAAGGGCTCGAAGTTCCTGCCAGAGCAGAAATCAGGGGCTTGCCAGTCTTTAATTGTTTGTCCTATAGATTATGTGTTCAATGATGAAGTCCTCAATAAGTGTACGAAGTTGTTCCGGGTCATCTGGCATCGTCTCTGTGAGCTTCAACACATCCAAAGCTTCTTGCAAGGATGAGCAACTCCATAGTTGGCTCTTGAGTGCCACAGACATCTCCCGATCACAACACAGACGGCACAAAGCAACACGAAGGCTTAAGGCTTGAGCAACCCCTGTGGATAGCAGCAGGTTTGCCAACAAAATGGCCAAGAACCTCAACAAACTGTAACAACCAATGGTCTTTGGATGTCAAGTCTTACAAGGCAAAAAACACCAAAGTGGCGTCATATTTTTGGGCGCCTGCGCTTTTATTGTGGGCGCTTGCGTTGTGTTTTTAGGCGCGTCACCTTCACGATTTCTAGGCGATATGATTTTTTTGGGCGATCGCGTTGTGTTTGTGGGTGTTCGCGTTATGTTTCTAGGAGCTGCGTTGTGTTTTTGGGCGATGCATGTTGAAATGTGCAGAAAACGGTCTAAGAGTCATCAAAAGCTTGTAAACACATCAAAGACTTGTAAACACATCGAACAACTGCACACCGGGAAGCACATTGGGAACACACAAATTGCACGCAAGCTTCCACTGAATGGACTGGTGTCATAGACTGTGGAGATTGCGGACGTAGCTTCTTTTCCACACCCCACACGATCCAGCCCCAGCGAGCAGCAAAGAAAGCTTGCAGCAAGACCCCCGCCGGAGCAAATTAGACGCTCACTGAGTTCTCAACAGAAGGCCTGACAAAAATAGTATCAATGCTCAAGAAGAGTTGTGGTAAACAAAGACAACACTTCAAGGTGGACGTGCGACCTGCCATTGAAACTCACAGTTCCCGCGGAAGGACTTTCTTCCACTCCAGAGGAACCTTTAGAGCGCAAGCCCCATACAAATACTGACAGAGAGCTACCATCTCTGCATCATTCCATTTGTCACCCCACTCCCACGACTGCCAGATGCGAATGGCATCTGCTGAGTCATCATGGGATCTCAAAACAACCTTTGGCTTCAGCTTCTCAAGCATGGAGGCAATTTTCTCTCCAAAGCATTTCGTGTATCGCCTGATGTGTGTCGTAGAAGGGGCATGTGGACATGGAAGTTCAATGTTTTTGCTTTGGCAAACTTGGCAAAAGGATAGCGCGTTCCAAAAAATAAGGCCCTTACTCTGTAGACTTGAGGGCAGGAGTTCCATGATAGCGAGTACGGCCTTCTTTATCTTTGTAGGTACGACATGGCTTTTGCTCGGCTCCACGATCTTTCAAAGCCTTCCGGTACACGTGTTTCTTCAACCGCATGGTCCAAAACACTCCAATGGCTGGGCTACTGGACCACAAGCTCGTCCTTTTCGGTGTTGGTGCTTGATAATGGAACATCCAGAAGTTGCATCGAAAAACCTGGCGACACTCGACTGGCTAAGGGTAATTGATTGCAAACCTGTGATCCTGCCAGAAATCTATTGAAAAGGGCCAAAAGAATTCATGCGCCCCTAAACTGAACATCTGAGAGTATTATGTATAGTCAGTTGAAAATTCGAGTGCCCCTCGCTGGAACTCAAGTGGCAACTGCAGGTAACAAACACGCACAGCATTTAGGAATTCCTGGAAAACATGGACCTTGAAGACAAAAAACATCACAAAACAGTCATACAGTCATACACTTAAATGAAACAGATTCTGACCTTCATCTTTGGCTAACTCTTTCACCCGCATTGCAAACTTGGTGTCTCGACGTTTGGAAGCCAATAAAACATCGCAAAGGAAAGGTTAGCAAGACAAAGAACATCAAAGTAGTCGAACAATTCCTTCATTCTGTAATGGTCGAAAAGAAGGCTGCTGCGGGGCTGCTCCACAATCCAAGTGCCACAAAAAGCTACTGTGGCGATGCACAGAAGAGCCACCCTGGCACGAGTCCAGGCCGGACATTCAGTATACAAAGCACAATTGCTTAACTTCCAAACAAACATCTTTCACATTCTGACATGAAGGGAGATACCCTTCCTCCACTTTAAAACTCCATGGCCTACAGGCCAGAAAGTTGGCAACAGTCACGCAACGAACTTCTCCATCTAATCCTTCCGGGTTTGCCGCGCTCCTGCCAGTACTGCCTCTGGAGGTAGCAACCCAGGTCGCGCACTGAACCCCTAACCAATGGACCCAGCCATCATCTCGTCCCTGTAAGATGGAAGCAAGAGCTGCCCTTACCAAACACAGTGTCATCAAGTGTATTCAAGTGTTACATGTCTAGATTCACTGGATTAAGTTAGATCGAGTTGCCCCATTCCACTGTGCGAGGTCAAGTCCAAGGTCCGACTGTACTCAACATCTAAAGCTCTGGCAGCCAGAGCCGGAAAGCATGACTGCACCTCGCGGGTTGCCATGGCACACCCAGCAAATGATTCGAAGAAATGAAGGTCCTGCAGCGATGGAACTAATGCTTGCAACCTACATCCTTTGCTTTGTTGACCTTTTGGCCATAAGTTCAAATCCGACTGGCGCCTGTGTGCCATCCACCTCACTATTCCAAATGAGAAGCATGCACGCAAATGCGAGCACCTCAAGCACTCATGAAGCAAGGCGCCAGCAGGGAAGCATAAAAATATAATATAACTTCAGCTCTACTGCCCAGTAGTAATTGGAACGTTACTGTCTAGTGACAAGGAGCTTTGGGGGGCCTTCATCCGGTGCAACCGCTGCACAACTTGAGAAGCTGTCCATGGCATGTTTCCGCAACAGGCCAACCGTACACTTCTCACACCCTCAGCCCTTCTTGGAACACTGATCAGCTGCAGCTGAGAAAACAGAGTAAAGATCGAAAGGAATTTTTAACTCTCAGCATTGAAAAGGGTTTGTTTCTCAGACGCTACATGCTCAAACAGGCCAGCTGAAACCTTCAAGGGCTTCAACAGTGGCGTCAACGAGCCCATGTTTGGCCTCTCGCTTCACACCACGGAGCTCCTTCAAGAAGCTCATCCCCAACCTGCACATGGCAAAGAAATGAGCGCACGGGTGAACCCTCTGCCTCTAGACCTTTGACAGCCTGGTCGTTTTCCATCCTGGTTGCTGAATGAAGGTTTCAGTATTTCTTCTGCTGCGGGCCCCTCCCGTCCTGAAGTCTACGCTCAAAACACTTTGACTGGAATCTTAGCCATTCATCTAAGCACGCTGCTCTCCGGAAAAAATTATGGAATCTCTCTTCCGAAAACAATGAAACAGGACAGTGCTCAGACTGCTAATGTTGGCCAGCATGCGTGCACTGAAGGCCATCGTCAATCAAAGGAACACAACATTCAAAATCGCTCCGCATCAAGCTTAGTCAGCTTTAGCCAGAGCTGAGAGTGGAAGATTCCTGCTCAGCCGGTTGCTGAACCCTTCCTGCTTGGTCAGGCTCGGCCATAGATGCCTTCTGCTGCCGCCTAAGTCCAGCGTCCGGAGATGCCTTTACAAAACTCCAGATGTTCCATGATACTCGCCAAGTAGTGTATGTACAGAACATTTCAATAGGTTGGTGCGGCTTCAAAGGCATCGTCCAGAGTTGTGAAGTCCAAAGGTAAGTCTATTTAAGGTTACGTACACTGAGCCCCGTTGTGATAAAGTAAACCTCTCTAGTGTGTTCTTCTGTGTCCCTCTTGATGTGTACTTTCCCTTTTGCTGGGCTTTTGTTCATGCACGATCAC